TCTTGATTATTATGCTGTTAACATGACAGACATGTTTCCGTGCGAGGACCAGCAAGTGGGACATTTATGTGAAGCTATGGTGATGAGAGACAGCTAGCAACGCAAACTGCCAGAGGTGCTTTTAAAGAGCAGCTTTGCCCTTTGCAGGTAGGGTAAAGGGACAGTGATAAGTATTGCTACAAATAATAGTGTATGCACTTCTTCCTGCCTGAAAGGCTGGTGAATTTTGAAGCTTGCAGGAACATCGCTGTCAAACTCTGAGATTTTGAGTTGAATGTTTTTAAATTTATGTAACTATTTGGTCCTTTCAGAATAAATGCCTGTCGTAAAGAAACATCATGGATATTCTTGTTGGCTTCTTTGTAGTTTGTGGGTAGTCAATTTTTCAAGACAACAGATTAAAATAAACTTAATCTAAGTAAGCTTAATCTAAAAATAATAAATAATTTTAAAAAAATAAGCTTAATCTAAACCCATTAACTTACTAGAGTGTAGATTTTATCAGTATAGAATCATAGAATGGTTTAGGTTAGAAAAGACCGTGTAAGATCATCAAGTCCAACAGTTAACCTCACCACTGAGCCATGTTCCTCAGCACCACATCTACAGTCTTTTAAATACCTTTGGGGATGGTGACTCAGCCACTTCCCTGGGCAACCTGTTCTGATGCTTGACAACCCTTTCCACGAAGAAACTTTTCCTCATACCCAGTCTAAACCTCCCCCGCCACAACTTGAGGATGTCTCTTCTTGTTCTGACACTTCTTCCTTGGGAGAAAAGACTGATACCCCACCCAGAATAGCACCCTGCATCTCTCTGCTGTTGGAAGCAGAGAGGCTAGGGGCCTTTCCTGCTGGTCTGGAGTGAAATGGACTCTAACCACTATCTTGAAGTGGGAGAAGAGAAGCTGTAGGTGAAGGATAAAATTTTGAGACCCCTCAGATAGTGTATCTGCAGTGCTGTAGCTGCTACCTTTTCGTATAGCCTTTGAGCCTTTGGAAGCTGCTGTATACCTCTCTGCCAGTGACGGAGTCTGGACCTGAACAGATTTTAGACTTCCGGCAAAGGAGGTGCAAAGGAAGAAAAACCTGCTTCTTGGTGTAGCTGTAAGAGGGAATGAAGCATGGAGATATTTTAAGTGTGTCACAGTTGGTCCTCATTCCTTTCTTACTGCTAGCACCGGTACCGTCATAAATGAAATTGCAATGTCATTTCTCTTCTTTCTTATGATTTGGAGCTCTGACTTGGAGGCTGCACTCTGATGTAATCAGGTTTTTCTTGTCAGTCCTCACATTCATTTTCAATTCTGATAATGCCACTGGGTGTCTTGGATGATACAAAACTGGTGCTGTGAAAGGCAGTGCAGAAGTTATGAACTTTCCCTTGAATATATTATACTTCAGAGCTCTGTACACTTTTAAATTTTTTTTTTTTTGCTTAAAGTGAGATCCTATGTTCCTGGAAGCCTGTGTCATCACTCTGAATATTCAGTTTTTCTTCTACTTTATGACAAATACTGATTTTAACTTAAATCTGCATTTTGTGTAGCTGGCTAATTTTTAATAAATCCTTCACTGCTGTTGAAATAGTTTTGATTTTATGTTTAAAACCCAAGAAACTAAGTCGGTTAACCCTTAGGTTAAAAATTAACCTTCTGTGTGACTTCAGCATGAGCTTAGATCGTGGTGTCTAACTTCCCAATACCTCGCCTGTTTCCTTCCCGAAGGAACCAGCAGAGGATATCGTGCGTGGCAGTCTGTCCCTCTGCTTGCATTGTCCAGCCTTAACCTGTTAGGATTCCCTTACATTTAAACTTTCAGGCTGTTACGCTCACCCCGTTAAAATCAATCCCGCTTCATTTCATGCGGTACGGTAGCTTTTAGGGCTGCAGGTGGCAGCAGCGCCCTGGCAGAAAAGACCCTCAGCCCAAGCCTTTCCGTGGAGTGTTTGGTTGTAATGTGGCAGTAAAAGTAAACCCAATTAATTTCCATTGCCTTTTTTTTTTTTCTCCCTCTTCCATTTTTTTCGTTTGGTGTAATATGCTCCTTTGTATTTGGTCGCTCAGTGGCGTTTGGCCTTTTAGGCAAAGCATCTCTTTCAGGGAGAAAGCTACACAAGCTGAAGCCTCAGTGGGATTTGCCACGCAGTAAGGCACTAGTTCTTTTGCTCTGTGGTGTCTCCCTGTAAAGTTGCTGGTGAAAACGTCTTCACTCCCAAGGAGAGAGTGAAAGTACTATGTAAGACCTGGAAGCTGGAGAATCCTTCAGGCATTCAAAATGGTAACGACCTGGCCAAATTCAGATTTTATTCAGTTCTGACTCTGGATTTCAGGGCTTTTTAGAGGGATTGGGTGCTGACCTCTTCGTCTAGTCACAACTTTCCTTTTTTTACCTGTTTTTTTCCACTGGTTATCAAGATGAATTCATTTATCTCTTCTTATGTGCATTTCATATTTTTTTAACATAGATTTTTTTGTTTGGTATTGTGTTCAGCAATCCTAAACCGTCACACAGACGGGAAAGGTGAAGAATGCTTTTCTGTAAAGCAACAGGACCAAGTACATACCAGTTAACGATATTCAGTGTAATTACATATTGTGAATTGTAACTGAACAGTATATTTGCAGTATATGTTTGCCCTCTGTAGGATGTGCAAAGTGTGTTGAATACATAATATAAATAGCCTTAAAAGAATTTTAGTTTCTGAGAACAAACAGATTATCTGGTTTTATGTGTAATAGCAGAATGGGGAAGTCTTACACATACAAGTATGCTTTTCACGTAAAGTTGAATGAAAATTTTTTAGTGAGGAATGATACCCAAACCCAGTTAAAAATTGGTGGTAACGGTCACTGAGTCGCACCAGTTAAGCTTTAAATATTCAGCTGAAGATCTGATTTTGGGCTATGTGTTTAATAAGGGTAAGATGGGCTTGCAACTTTTAGTCCTATTAGTTCATGTCAGAAAAATCTTATAGTTCATTACTCCTAGTCTGATCTTTCTTAAGCATTTTATTAAGTTCTTCACACAATTACAGCTAAAATGACATTGAAATGGTAGTAAAACTTAAGAACAATTTGGGTTTTTAAAAGTATTGAACTAAAAAGTGCTATTGTAGTTAAGCTTTTGCATATAATTACCTCAAAGGTTGATAAATTGAGGAGATAATTGATGGTAAAATGAGGAAAGAATTTGATTCAAAATGATTGAGCACAATTCAGGAATTAGGTCCTAATTTAGTCATTTATAAATAATGCATTATCAATAAAGGACTGAAAGTAGTATTGCAGAGCACCTTGTTTTCTGAAATAGTTGGTATGAGTAATGTCAATTAAGACTACTTCTGAAATGGGAGCAGTTGTTTTATGTGCTATTATAAATATAAAAAATTAAAGCTGTAAATGGTGTGAACAACTGGTCGGACTCTTGTCCTAAGAGATGTCCAAGGCTTAGCTTGTGTCATTCAAGTAGAACTTGGAATTTCAGATTCAACTTTGAAGTCAGTTGTTTAAATGATCAGTTTGGTGTATAGCTGGAAACATGCAAGGTTTTCTTCAAGGATTATGTTGTGAACAATTAATTTAGAAAGAGAAGACCTACAAAAAGCATATGCCATTATTATTACCTGGAATCCAATAAAAGATAGTTTTTCAAACTATTACCATATGTGTGTAGGAGCTGCTTTTTACTGTAAAGTTATTTTAGATACCAGAATAACTTGTTTCCTACTTTGAGTTCCTTTCTGTTAAAGTGTCCTCTTAGATTTGTTATTACTTTGACTATTGTGTGATATATAGTAAAAAACAAAAAGAAGTTTACAAGAAAAGAAATTTAACAAGTAATTGAAATTCCAGACTGTGTGCAAAATGTGCCAAATGAAGTAATGGTATTTGCAGGGATATTGTATGAGTGCAGTAGCTGTGGAGAAACGACTATAAAACTGTTAAATATGCTTCCCCTCCCCCTGGCTGCCTTTAATCACGGTTGAGCAAAAAATGCAATCTTGACTGGCTGACAGACATTACAACAGGGAAATTAATGCGTTTAAAATCATAGAATCATAGAATGGTTTGGGTTGGAAGGGACCTTAAAGACCACCTAGTTCCAACCCCCCCTGCCATGGGCAGGGACACCTTCCACTAGACCAGGTTGCTCAAAGCCTCGTACTGTTTACCCCTATTTTTCTTATTGTTGATGTACAAATTCTTGGACGGCTTTGACAAGGAAAGATTACTGAAATAGGCTCTTTTGTATTTATGTTTTATGTTGAACAGTCATCTTAGGACCCAGCAGAAGAGTAACTGAAGCAAAGGAAGTGTCATTTGTAATGCTGCTTTTTTAAACCAGTGCTTTTGTCTCTGAGCTAGTGCAGACTTAGAGGATGTCATGGCTAACAGGAAAGTTGGTTGAAATGAGTTTATTTTAAGATGGAATTTTTGAATGTGCATTCTGTAACGCTGACTCATGAGATAAGCAAAGTCTAATTTACATATGTAAATCACCACACTGATTTGAGGTGATCTTGTTTGATAGACTGCTTACCTACTGATGACTCTCAAATTACAGGTACATAGGAAGGACGGTATTTACAAATCACTTTTGACTGTATTATACTTTAGTAGTATATAATGAAAGATTTATTGCTAACAGTGTAGCCATATTTCTTCATGCCATTTTGATTTACATTCAGATGTCCTCATGGATCTTTCCTTCTTAGCTTAACTGATTCATAGCCTCAGGAAATAAATTTTAAGATGGTCCAGAGCCATTATTGGAGAATTCTAGAAATTGTCTTGCTTTCCAGTGTCAGTTTTCTTTCTCCAGTTGTGGAACAAATGCATGAAGCGGTTTCTTTTGTTGTCCCAATTTTTTTTTTTTTAGCAACTTCATTATTTGCTGTAACTAAATATCTGTAGCTGGAACAGTGGAAGCAACATAAATTTGATGTTCTTGGTTCTCTGATTCTTTGCAATTTCTTAATGATCTTTTTTTTTAATGCAGAAACTTGAAGGGTGTTATAGTCACTTTAAGTGACAATGGGCATCTTCAGTGTTCCTATCTTGGAACTGATCCTTCACTCTTCCAGGCTCCTAGAGTTGATTCTAGGGAAATAAACTATGAAGAATTCGATGCTGAAATGAAAGAGCTTCAGAAAATCATCAAGCAGGCCACAAAAACACAAGGTATATATCTCCCTTTTCTATAGTTGTACATGCTTTTAACCATCTGCCTTTCTTTTTAGCACTTTAAAATACTTTGTTTTATTTTCATACTTGAACCATAACTACATTTCTGTAGGAAAATGTAATATTTAATAAAGTTTAGATTTTCATAAAAATTAGTACAAACAAAATTCTAGACCATAAGATTGCAGTATTTGCATACAGAGTTTTTTCTTTTTATTTTCATAATGCCTGTTGGAACTTTCAAGATATTTATGTCAGGCTGCAGGTAATTCTCACTAGGGGCAAGGTTTAGAGAAAAAAAATGGCAGTGCATGTTCAACCCAAAGACAAGAAAACTTCAGAAATTTCACAGCAAGAGTCTGATACACTTAGGCTTCAGAGAGTGCAAAAGTATGGCAAAATTCAGTTTTATTATCACAAATGGTTTCTTAAGTCATGCAGTTAACAAAGAATGACTGTTATTAAAGCAACTTTTCTGTTGCTTTGACTTCTTTCAAAAGCAATTTTATTTGAAGAACATAGAGATGTCCGTGACCGGTCATGACGAACGCTGGAGTTTACATGCATCACCAATAACTTGCGTTGATTTTATTCAAGTAAGGGCATGTTAATTTCTACAGAGATCCTTCAAAGTTTCTGTTTTCATAACTGACTTTGAAAACAGTGTATCTGACTTGCAGTGGGAATTGGAAGCATGCGATGTACAGGAAACTATGGAAAAAAATCTTAGGCAAATAGAAAGAACCACTTAAAATCTTTTCCTTGTGTTAGTTACCATGTTCTTAAAATGCGTTAAAGGAGTAATCGTAGCTTTCTGTGTGAAAGGGAGCAAAGAAGCTCACAGTTGAAATGTCAAGAAAAGAAGAAATTATTTATCTGCAGTCATGAGCTTGATTCTACAACTCAGATTTCTTTTTTGTGATTGCATGTAACTTTTTCCATTATTGTGGTAGACTAATATCAGATTTAATTTTACAAATCCAGTAATTGGTTATTTAAGCATATGGATGTGGGTAAATTCCATTGATTTTTACCATAGCCCTTCTTTATACGCATTTTGCAGCTTTGTCTGGCTGCCATAACCAAAGGAAGGAAAAACATGATGGGAGGAATAAGTCCATTTGAAGTGAATAAACTCTGTTTGTTAGTTTTTAACATATTGTGTGGAAGATCTAGAGAGAGAGAAGGGAAATGTAGTTGTCCTTTATAACTTCTCTAATAAGTGTCATGGTATGATTGACAAGTTTACTGTGAATACTGTTGATCTTTTTCCCCATTCTCTTTTCCTCTGAATTTCTTTTCCTCAATCTTCCTAATCTGAACCAAGGTGTTAGTGGTGTTTTCAGATGAATTCTTATGAATGCTCTTTAGTTGTGGTGAAATGCTCCATTTGTTTGGCTTTAACTGATGGTAAAACTTGTGAGAAAACCTTATTTACAACAAACATTTTACTTGTGAAGAAATAGTTTCAGTTTGGCTTTTTTTTTTTTTTCTTGGAATGTTAGGTAAGCCTTAAAACAACTGCTAATCATGACCAGTTGCACAGAAACCACTTTTGAACATTGATGGCCATTAAGTTACTCTTAGGCATGGTCTTTAAAATGAGACAGTGACCCTTCTGTCTTTTGGATTCACGTTTGTGCAGCAAGAGCTTGTGTTGTTTTGAAAATATCTGCCCTTATATGGAAACAATTTTTCTTTGTTTCATTTTGACTTCCAAACATGGAAGCTATTTAGAATTAGTTCATCATATAAAAAAACCCCTTAGAGTAGCTATTTCCATAAATGTCTTGTATTTCTGTCCAGTGCTGACCATTAAACTGTTGAACCTAATACGTTTTATACATTTTGAAGAATAAGCATTTACATTATAAACAGATGAAATATTTAAAAATCTTAACTGTTAAACTAACTTAAATCTAATGTTACTTGCATCAGTCTGGATGACATAAGTGATTAAACATAGGTACTTTGGCTCAGTTTCGTAGTAATAAAAAGCTGATGCTTATATATAAACTTTGGTTGTGATCTCTGTCCTATTTGTAATAGAAAGATGAGTGTGTGACAGAAGTTGCATCAGTGTTTGCTTGAAGAAGCAACCTGAAAAGAAATGATTCAGGAGGGATAAAAAAGGAAAACATTTCGTTACCTGTACAAGTGAAATGAATTGTGCTGAGCTATGTGTGATTGGCAGAACCAGTTGTGTGCAACTGCAGCAGTATGAAACTGGCCTGGGCTGCTTTGGTAGGTGTTGTTGGAGGAACATGTTTTGGTTTTGCTTTTTTTCTTGTAGTAGAGGGTGACATTTTTTGCTGAGCACAAGAAAATGAAAACTGTTTTCACCAAAATCTTTTTCCCTTGACCCTCTTGTTAGAAAGAGATAACATGGTGCCTATTTCTGTGCCATTTTCAGGACCCTGTGTGTAATAAAAATCTAGCAGCTTTCTGAATATGCTTATGCTCTCGATTTTTCAATTAATATGTTAATTTCCCCTTTACGTTGTCTTTGCTGTTTCTTACTTTAGGAACTATACATTTCCTGTTTGGGTTTTTCTTTTTCCAGTACATGTAATATTAAGAAATAAAAGTGCTTCTCAGAAAAATGCAATTACCTTAGAGCTGGACTTCTGGACTCTTAAGAGGAAATTGTAATTCCTCCTGGTATTTAAGTGGCTAGTTTTTAATCCTTACAACTGTTTTTACTTATGTGAATCTGCATAAGGTTTTGTTTCATAGATGAAAATGAGTTTGTAGCATTCTTTGCCTTGTGTGTTGACAGTCCTGGAAATCACTGGGTACTGTACTGTAAACAAGCCCCATATAATGTTCTTTACATAAAACTTTCATACACCTTATTTTGCAGAAGAATTTCTAAAACCTATTTAATTTTACACTATTAGGCACAGACTCTTTCTAACATATTCGTTATCAAATTATTTAGATGAAGGTGTCGTGAGATGTGTATTTTGGAGATAGTTGTTTATTATACGTGTATTAGTATATGCATGTGAGGACAAAAGTTTAAAAATTCCTTGGTCTCTGAAGATCATGGATAGTAGGAGTAAAACCTTGTTACAGAATGCATCTAAATCCCTTCACATACATAAACCAGAAATCCGGAATTGGATCCAGACTTAGGTTGTCCGTACAAATCTTATCAAACTGGGAAGTTTCTTTGGTGAAAAATCATATGCATTTTTTTTCTGTACGCTAGGATGTGTTATGATGTAAGTCTGAAACTTGATGCTGTAGAAATTCTTTTATTTTTAGAAACGTAGCTGCATGTTTGTTAAAGGAGAGCTGATTTTTATTTTTTTTTCTTTTTCTTTCAGATATTTTGCCCAAATCTGAAAAACACAGAGATCTGATTGTCACAGCAGAAGTTTCGCCTGATTTGGATGCAGAATCTGTATGTGCTTGTATATAAAGGAAATTACTCGGAAAGCATTGGTTTCATACATGACTAAATAGTGGTCGGTCATGGATAGTGATAACTGTGTATTTATATTTGTGTGACTGAACTTCTGTATAGCCCCCAGTTTTCCATCAATTAAAATTCACTTTTGTTAATGATTTTAACTAGAATTATTAAAATCGTTTAGTATCTTCTGCATGGGGACCTTTTAGATTCTTTGCTAAGCAAAAGTAAGTGAAGGAGAACTTTATAAAGAGATCCCTTCATCAAAGGTGGTAGTATCTGTCTGGATATAACTTTCTGGTGGTGAGAACTTACAACGGTGAGCAGTTAATAATAGGGGGAGGGGGAAGCAGTAGCAGTGTCACCCTGTGGATCTTTCAAAGATAGAATACAAGAACCACTCAGAGATGCAGTGTAAGAGATCTTTCTCTGGCAAGGCATCATTCAATATTGTCTGGTGCTGCATCCTAATTAGTTTATCCATCTTGTATACATAAGTGGTTTATAAAAAATAATTCAAGTTAAGATTCAGGAGAGCTTATATTGTCTCTCCAAACTGTTCACTTTAACATTTCAGGACATACTGATTAGACTAGAATATCTGTAATTATTTCTGGCTGCTAATTTCTGCAAAACTGATTTCCAGGGCTACTTACTGTTTAAAAAATATGCAAGGAGCTGCTTTTTAATACTTTTATAGATATAACCGATATATTAATTGAAACTCTGTTATTATTACTACTGCTACTTCTACTTCTACTACTACTGTTCTTTGATAAAGGGTCCTCTCTATAATGTGTTCTAATGTCCTAGCACTTGTCTGTGGAGAAAAGGACAGTGTGACATGGTCTTGTCTAGCTGCAATAATCTGCTCAGAACATTTACAACTGTTAGGTCCATAGAATGTTCTGATGCTGCTGTGCTCATTCGATTGACCTTCCAGATGCAAATGGTCTATTTCATGTATAAGTAACTCAATATTTCAATTGAACCACAGCCTTGGATCTTTATTTCCCAAGGCTGTTGATATATCCTAGTTTCCTGTGTGTTAGGCTTTCCTAGGGGCTCCTTCAGTAGCCATCTAGAAAGCAAAAGGATACTTTATGGGGAAGGATCAATACAGCGAGTGTGGGAACAACTTTAGGGCTTCAGGGGTGATCTTGGAAACTGCAGGCTTGCAGGTACTCCTTCTGCACTTGTGAAAAGATTTAAATTGCCGTGTGTGGCAAAAGCAAAGAAGATACAGATGTGTTGAAACGGATTAGATAAGCAAGTGGAAGACCGTTCTGGTTATTTGACACCACCTCCTGTGATGGGCTCTGATCCAGGAAGTCCAGCAGAATTCTGAAAGTTAAGGATCAGTCTCTTTGTACCCCTGCTATTGATTCAGGATCAGCCACTGGTCACCAGAGACAGTGAGCTTGACAAGCCAGTGTGGAAGGAGCTATGGGCTTTTTTAATTGAAAAATGTATATTTTTCAATTAAATGTAAATGAAACAGTGTACAAATGAAAGTCCTACTTCTAGAACCCAGAAAGCCTACCAACTTTCTGACTTCTTAGGAACTTAGGATGTGGACCTTATACTGGCGTGTTGCGATGAAAAGGAGGGTGGGTAGAGGACATCAGATTGTTCTTAATTTACTCATAAGAAGGTATAAGTTCAACACCATAATATGGCACTGTAGCAGAAGTGAGGTGTTCCTTAAAATAGTTTAAACAAACAGGAATATTTGTTAAACTGTAGGGACTGACCTGTTGCAAAATTAAATATGTGCATAATATAAGATGTTAAAACAGACTACAAGGTCAAGATTGAATTTTGAATTAGATGGAATTGCCTGTGGAAATAGAAATTAGCAGGAGTAGCAAGGTGGCTGCTATAATTTTCTTTTGAAGTTCACAACATTTTTCTGATTATAAGATACTGTGTGATGATTTTATAGCGCATAACATGGTGTGTATATAATATATTGGGAGATGGGAAGTCACCTTTCCCTGCTGAATAAAGGAAGGTATTTCCAGAATTTAAATAAATATAGAGCAAAAAGTAGTGTGCCAATCAAAACAGTCTCAAATGTTCCTATATACATCAGAGTGTATTGGTTTCTTATACACACAACATTTATGACCTTTTGCTGTCCTTTTTTCAGGCAATTTCAAAGAGGAGCTTTACGTTTTCAGAAGGAACTCAGAAACGTACTTTGTGTATTTTAATCTGTCATAGGAATGATAAGTCCTTTACTATTAATTCCCTGTTTACCAAATAGATGGTAGGAAAGTAATATTGCACTCATTGTGTTCACTCATTCATGTGTAATATTGAATTTACTCTGTTTTCATCTTTTTCTTCACAGCAAGCCATTGACAGTGAGGTAAAAGCAGAGGCAGTACCATCAGTCACAGTAAAGGTACTGTGCCTAACTCAAATGGTAGCATTCAAGCAGCGGTGGCAAATTTTAACAAACCTGTCACTTTCTGTGTATTTCAGTCAGACCATGAAAATGGGTAAAATTTGAAATGCAGTGTATACTTCATTCTTTTTCTCCTTAGTATGACAGCGTGTTGTTCCAACAAACCTTGTGCTGAAATCAGAAAGCGATTGGAGTTATGTTCAGAAATGCACTGAAGTAGCATTTGCCATTAACTTTAAATGTCACTGTCATGATTGCAAGTGCTGAAGCCTGCAGTCTCATGTCTGGATGTTTTTAGCTCATTGAGCTGGCATAACCTTTGTAAGGCTATAGATTCCATCATCATTGTTCATCTTACTGAGATTCTGGCTTCAGAAATCGGGGCAGGGTTTACCTGATGTATGTACAGAGGTAGATGTGCTCCTTCCTTGCCAGCATTAATAGTGATGGATGATCTGAGAGTGCATTTGCAGCCCTGTTGTATTGTTAAACCAAAATAAATCTTGATGTCAATTCTGTTGAAGTAGTCAAACTTTCTAACCCTTGGGTCATTTTATAACTAATAATATTTTCCTAAACTGGTTTAACCTGGCTGTGGTGAGCTCCTTGGTAGACCAGCAATACAGAACAGATGATGATAGATAGCAGATATAGTCTGTGTGTATGCAAACCACGTTCAGATCTCAGTCACCACTATACATTCATTTTAGATCTAAGTTAAGGACATTCTTTTGCTATCCACTGATTTTGCAGAGAAGTAACTGCCTGCAATAGAAGCAACCAGGGACACTCCAGGTTTATGGTTAAGTCAGCTCTCAATGTAGAGTCATAGTTCTGCTGGGTATCCTATATGTTGAATTTCAGAGTTTATTTGCAGGGAAAAATCCAAATAGAACTGACTGTGAAGTTATTGGAAGACTATGGATTGCTCTTTGCAGTTCAAGGAAATAATTTATTTAATTAGATTTGGTTTTATTCTTTTTTTTTCTTTAGTCAAATAAGAGGCAACATTTAATTTTCATTTACATTAGTACAAATGCACATAACACTTGTAAAAATTTTAACATTTTAAATTAACACTTTAGCATTAGTTTGTCATGGGTTAAAATTACAGAGAACATGAGAAATCCCTTGTTTTTTTCTAGCCTTGCAAGTTATTTTGTTCCATTATAGGGTGTAAGTAAATAAGAATTATAAAAGGAAAATATTCATTTTGGAGTTGAAACTTGAAGCTCTTAAACCTCATTGCTGTATTGCTCTTCAGGTTTGTCATATCTTTTCGCGTGTTATCCTTGTTTTCTGTTATACAGAAATGAATTTGTGGCTTCCTTTAAAAATTTGATGCAGGTAACAATACAGAGCAGAGTGACAGCGCAGAAACCAATCCTGGCAGTGTGTGTACAAGCTCCATTAGCAGTGACTTGTGACCAGTTCATCTTTGATGATTTAGGTAAATTGTTATAGAAACCATTACAGCTGTTGTATCATATTGCTTTTTCTGATGATGTTTGAAAGGTGTAGTCCAGCCTCCATCGAGTGCATTGTTGCAGATATACTGCAGTTAAACCAATTACAATTTGCCTTGCCTGTACTCTGAAGCTTCTAAAACTGCTTGGCGGAGGAAGACAAAGTAGAAAGGAATGGATTTACTTCCTTGATTATGGGATGATGGATGACAGGTGAGGAGATACAGGGTGGTAGCTTCGTGATGGAGGGGAAAAAATACATCAGTTATTCTGTGGTATTTCTGCTGGGTCATTTTGTTTTGCTGGTAGTTCTGTCTGTAGAAATGGCATTGCTGAGCTAAAAGCAGGGTCAGAAAGCTTGTTCACCTGTGGACAGTCTAGCATATGTTCCCCATTTAGAATCAACCGTTTGGTGATTCTATCCTTTTTCCAGCTGTGCTGATAAGGATGCAGGTGGGATTGCCTTGAAGACTAAGTGGAGCTGAAGAGAGAGCGTGTCTTGCTGCCTCTGTTGGGACTGCAAACCATATCTGCTCTGAAATGTGCAGTAATGGCTTCTTGAAATGGCTTTACTGACTGCTGCTCTCATTGGAAAGGACAGTTCTTATGTTTTCTTAACATGTGATGAAGGAAAGTGCTGGTGGCTTTGTAAAATATTAAAATCAAAGGCTAAAACTGCATTTGTTTTGATATTCTGTGGTTGGTGTGTTGAATTGTTTTACTGGTTATGCTTCAAGACAGTTATAAATTGGAGAGATTAGTTTGCCTTTTGCAAATTACAAACTTAAAAGCGTGTCCAGTGACTTGATTAAGATGAACTGATGGAAAAAACTATCATAATTTAGTAAAATATTTCCCAAAGTGCTAGAAATTGTTGCTTTAATTTGAATGATCCATTATGTGATTTAATTTTGTATTGTTTTCAGAACCAGATTCATCTGAAACTGTGGTCCTGTCTGTCTTTCTGAAGGGGAACTGTCCTCCATCAGAACTAGAAGGAAATTGTGTGGTTTCATACAATACACCAACAGGTAAGCCACCAGAGATTTCAAATTGATTTGCCCTTTTTGAGGTCTTTTTCTTATAAATGTTCTTTTGAAATACATTGAAGGCAGTATTAATTAAAAGAAATAATGTGTATCTGAGTCCAGTCTTCAGTCTTAGTTAATATTTTAGCATCATTAAGTTATGTAATTGGCCTTAAAGAGGTAAAATCATATGCTTATGGATTGGGAAGCAGCGGTACAAGCTTTCCCACCCTGTCCTATCAATTCTATTCTGTTTAAGGAACCACCTTTTTGAGTGCAAAGTTAATTATAGCTCAGCCTTCTGGGCTGCCAACAAGACTGACAGTAGCTGCCTCACTTCAGAGAAGACTTGAATAAGCATTGGGAGTGATTATTCGTCCCTTCCCTTCAGTTCAGCCTAATAGTTCTAAACAAATAAAGTAATGCAATGGAATAGGGTCTAAGTGGCTCTGTTTTATAATGCCCTAATGACCCTGGTGATAGAATATGTAAATTTACCCTGCTATCCATAACTGAAGACTGATTAGCTTAGTTTTCTACACACAACCTTGTGAATGTGTCAGCCTGCTGAGAAACTGTGTTTAGGCAGGGCTTCCATGTTATGTTAAATGCAGCATAAACCAGTTGAAGCTGTCCTTCACTTCTCACTGCTTGGCTTTGCTCCTGCACCTCCTTCCCTGTTGCGTTCACACAGTCAACAGTTATTTCTCAGCCAGTTTTGTTGATTTGGCTCACTGTGCATACACAGAGCTGTGCCAGCACGAAGGGAAGGGTGACATGGAGCAGACTGGCATCAAAGAAATGCGTGTGGAGTTCGGGCTTCTGTGAAGGGTGATGGTCTTGGTACCATATCCTATGTAGACTCTTCTATTTAAGCATTTACTTCACATCACTTCTCACTTGAAACACTGTGTTTATGATGATAGTCCAGGCTGTGTGATGACTGAAATGTTTATTTCTAGACAAAACTGAAACTTATCTTTCTAAAGGACTTGATCTTACCCTCCTTAGACAAGGCTTGCAGATACATGGAGAGGGTGGGAGAGAAAAGGATGCTTCTCCCTTTTTCTTGAGAGCCTGCACAACCAGCTTGTACTACTGCACTCCCTCTGTATTGTGGCTCTGACTGCTTATTCCTTGTGATTAAGAGGCTGTGCATTCATGCGTACAACTTAGTGGTGGGATTTCAGACAGGTTTTGTGGTACGACTATATAGGTAGTATACTTTGGAGTATCTTGGATCCTCTGATTTTGAAAACTTGCTTTTTGTTTTGTTGGTCTTGCTTCTGTGGTTTTACTTTGCAAGACCAGAGTATCAAACTTCAAGGGTCTATCTCACCAGCAAATGAATATATGATTTCAGGTGATACTGTTTAAAGTTATGCTTGTATTTTGGGTATCAGGTTGGATTTTGCAAGCTTTTGGTTAGGGAAGTAAAGAAATCTTGTGGCTTAAGTGTGTTTGATTATATGCAAGTAAAAAAATCCCCAGAAGACATGACATCTAACAGAATTAGGGAACTGTAGAAGGAATTTTAAAACCTAGCCTTTAATGGTAGAATTTGGAAGTCTTCTAAATAAAAGAGCATAATTGAGATCTTGCTAAATTTTTGGATATTCCTTTAAATTATGAAGCTGGGATAATTCTATTCAGTTAAGTACAAATAGTAGTGTTACTTGTACAAGGCAATCAAATCCTTAAGTGTAATATACTTGTAAACAAAAATCAAGTGCCTTTGTGGTTTCATTTTGTCTGAGTACAGACTTTTTCCTCTTTTGTTTTTAAAGAGATCTGTTTTGTGGCCAAATCAGTCTTGAGTGTATCAGTGTGATTCATGCAGCTGAAGGTTAATGAGTCACTCAGTTGGATGGGATTGCGCTATTGATGAATGTGGTCTCATGTCTGTTTGTTGGCGAGTACTACGTCTTTATATATTGTCTGCTTAACAAATGTGACTTAAGGTCTTTAGAACCAGTTACTATGTTTCTTTTTTTTTTTTCTTACTTGAGTAGCATCTTATATGTTGTTGTTGTTCTTTTTTTTTTTCTTCCCCTCCCATTGCTGGCTATGGTAGAGCTCAATCCTGAAGGTAAGTGAATGGCAAAACTACAAAATTTTAATGGTTTCATGGGTGGTAGTGTTTGCTGAATATAGCAGATGTGGAATGAAGCTGTTATGTTACCTATTATTTCTGTAAGTTCTTATTATCCATGGTTTGATGGATAAAGGTGTGAATATTTGAGCAGATGGAAACTGGATGAGGCTTAGACGTAAGACAGTCACCCACAGGATAAATAGAGAATTTTCTTGGTGAAGTATATTGCACTTTCTCATATGCAACATAAGAATTTTGCAAAGTATTAAGTGCCGTGTGCATTGAGATTGGAAATAGAAAAGAAATTGAATGTTCTTTCTTTACCATATTATTAGCTATTTTCTTTTTCAAGTTTCAGTAAGAATTTAGGCAGCTAAATCACAGCTTTTTTGGTGCAACTGAAACAGGGAACTACTGGAGAAAGTCCAGAGGAGGGCTACAAAGACGATTAGACCGTCTGGACCATCTCCCTTATGAGGAAAGGCCGAGGGAGCTGGGTCTGTTTATCCTGGAGAAGAGAAGGTTCAAAGGGGATCTCATCAATGCTTATAAATATCTAAAGGGCGGGTGTCAAGAGGATAGGCCTAGACTCTTTTCATTGGTGCCCAGCGACAGGACAAGGGGCAACAGGCACAAACCAGAACACAGGAAGTTCCACCTGTGCTTGAGGAAGAACTTTACTCTGAGGGTGCCAGAGCACTGGAACAGGCTGCCCAGAGCGGTGGTGGAGTCTCTTTCTCTGGAGACTTTCAAAAGCCGCCTGGACGCGTTCCTGTGCGATCTGCTCTGGGTGAACCTGCCTGGGCAGGGGGGTTGAACTGGATGATCTCCAGAGGGACCTTCCAAACCTGACCATTCTGTGATTGTCTGTGAAAGAGCTATTAAGGGTTTGTAGCTAATGCTAGGTTGTTTGGACTGAGTAGCTCTGAGAATGTTGTCACCTATCATCTCTTCATTCCAATTCCTATTGGAAACATCTTATTCAAGGCTAAAAGGCTGCTTTCTAACCAAGAATACCAACAGTGCAAAACTTAGTTGTGATTGTGGTAGATACGATGCTTGCAAAAGGTACAGTTTAAAGAAAAAACAGGACAGGGAAGCTAGCTTGTGTATATGCAGACTAAAAAGGGTGAAGGGTAGTTTTGCAAAGTAGTTGTGTACATGTGTTGAACAGATACAGTCCTTGTAGGTTATATTTTACTAACTTTAAAAATATATATTAAGTACAAATTCCCTCATGTTTTGAGGAGAGGAAAAAGTTGCTTGTCAAGGATTTAGAGATAACAAAGTGTATTTTCAGTTTTGCAGTTTTCTTAAACAGAAGTTATACCTATAGATATATGTGTATTTGAGTCTTGTTTTTCAATACTTATGTTCTTACAAGCACACTAAGTGAAGTTAAAACATAGATAACTCTTCATGGTTCCCTTCCTTGTCTGGTTTCTGGATATTTTAGGGGACCTTGAGGTGCCTTACAGGAAACTGATGCTTGAACCATCTCAATAAAATGCTACTCTTGGCAAGAATAGCAATCACCATGTGGCTATTCAAAATAATTTTAAAAATTATTTAAAAAAAAAGTAAATATATACATAAACCATAAAAAGAAATGTATATAACTTGAAAGGGTAACATGCTAAAAGTGAAGATTTGCATTTTCTGTTAAGAAGTTTCTGCTCAAGATGACAACCTGATGCTGAAGTGAATGTGGAGCACAGTAAACTGTAGACTTATCTGGGACAAAATTTATTAGGGTTATTGTGAGTTGCACTGGGCTAGTTAAATTCAGGGTCATCAATAACAGAAAAAGCATAAATTCTGAATATTTAAGAAGCTAATTAGGGTTCTGAAGTTTAACCTTTTTTATCATGTACATCAATGTTATGTTTCAAGTACAATTAAGATGAATGTATGAATAATTTGGAAGTGAAATTCTAACTACAGTGAATTTAACTGTTATATTACTTTTATCAGGTAAGCGCATCATATGCCCTTATATAGTAATAACTTAAGAGAATGTTACAAAAATTCTGTTGTGTTTCGGATTAGAAGAGAATCTGGGGTTTTTTCACATTTTTTCTTTATTACAGTGCTAAAATTGTATATTGTGCAGTGTTTCACAACGCTAGATGAAGTGAGATGTATTACTAGACATAACACCAAGGGATTGAAGTAGTTCTGGCTCTCATGCTTTGCTGCTGCTTTGTGTTTCTTTACTACAATTTAAAATTCTGAAATGTTTTAAAGGCATTTCCCAGCAAGCATTTTTCACTGTAGTGATAGATTTTGTTTGGTTTCTTGTATATAGTTGTTTTGGACTCATCAACTAGGAATCTCCCTACTCCCCTCCCAAAGACAGATACTATTTGATTTACTTTTGATTTGAACTTTGTCTGAAATAATGACAAGTACTATTTATGATGAGGCAGACCGAGAGCAGACTATCTAGGAAAAACTGGTTGGAAAGAAGAAAAACATCTTGTTTTAAATACAAAAATATTTCAAAATCTTTTTGGACAGTTTTGTCACTGATTTTTTTTCCTGTTGATAATTCTCCATATCTAAGTTCAATAGTAAGTTGTTTGTGTTATGTTGTCATCAAGAAAAGATTCTAATTTTCTTGTCAAATGATGAAGAAACAGTTGAGTGACTAATTCTGAAAGGTCATGGATTTATTGGCAAGTATTCTTTCAGGAATTTTCCTTGGAACTTAGGGATATTCTAGTTTTGAGGACCTGTCTTAAGCTTTCTGCTTGTCTTACACTGATTTTTTTTAAAAAGCTGCTGCAGAATAGATACTTGTAAACATTATCAGCCAGCCAAAAGAGCTAATGAATTGACAACCAGAAGGATGAATATGAGTCTTCTAGTAACATTTTTCCCCTGAGATGAGTCTTAAAAATGATTTTTCATTGTGAGAGATCCACGAAGTAGCAAATAAACAAAACTCTGTATAATGTGCTTTGTTAAATCCTGCTGGAGGTGAGTGTTGGGGTTAGTCTCATGGGTTATTTTGGAGAGAATGAGTGATTGTTGCTATGACATTAATACTGTTCTCAGTGAGTATTGATGCCTGTAGGGATATCTGTACCCAAACAAAACAAGGTTTCCCTGTTAGCTGCTTCATCAAAAAATCCTCCTCCTCCTCAAAAAAAAACCCATATTCTTGCTGCTCCAAAGAGTAAGAACTCCATGTTTTGTAGTAACAAGCACTTCTACCTTTCAGATAGAACATACCTGGTAATTTCTGACATGTCTACGATTTTAAACAATGTTTATATTTGTGTAAATTTTTGACACATTGTAATGAATGTGTTTTGTAAATATTAGTGTTAAACCTCCTCTTTTCTCTTCCACCATTCTGATAAAATACATTAGATCCCAATACCAGAGGCAGTAACCAGTTTGTTCTACAGTTCGGTTTTATTATGATGCAGTGAGTTGAAAGATAGAATTTGATATACTTTTGGGTAATAATCTCTTAGATACTTCTTTTTTTCCTAAGAAAAACCTCTGAGAGATGGTATCAAGGATGCATAGGTGTTCTTTAAGAGTATAAAAAAAGAGTAAATGTGTTCTTAAAACGGATATAGTTTATGGTAATCCTGATGAAAACACACATGCATAAATGCTTTGTGTTCAAAGCATCAGAATCAATGAAACAGCTGTTGTCTATATTAAAGTACAACTGTTTGTCTAGACTACTAAATAAAATGTTAATTTTCGTTGCATGTTAATTGATATAAATACAGGTATGCAGTGAATTTGCCTAATAACTGTTGCTTTCCCATTAATTTGTAAATGTTCACTTGAAAAGGTAATTAAAATAATCCAAATTTTAAGGTATTTTAGGTAGAAAATTTAACAAAACTTGAGAATTTTACATAGGTTTTGTTTTAACATATTTCTTAGTCACATCTAAAATAACTTGTTTCACCTCTTTGAGGACAGCAGTATGAAGTATCCTGTGTTCAGAATATGGATATGAAAGATGAATCTCTGTTCTTTCCTTTTAGGAATACTGAAAGTTGCACAGTGTAACTTCATGCTGCCTTTGCGGTTAATTTGCTTTCCAGCTCAACCTTCAAAAGCAGCAAACCACAAGCTAACTATTGATACCAATAAACATCCCATCAGTTTTCTCACCATTTTTCCAGGTAGGTTTTTTATATGTGTGTGACAGGAAATTGTTAGTAAATGCAAAATGAATTGTTTCCCCATGTGAATTGAGGAGGTAATTAACCAAGCTAATGTTAGAATGCTTGAAAAGTATATTTTGAAAGAAATTGTGGCGTAATATTTCAATAATAATCCACCTGGGCTAGTATATCTGTCTCTGGTAAAACTGCAGATTTCTTCACACAGTTGACATGATACAGATCTATGTAACCAGAAAATAAGTTTTACATAAAATTTCATCAGTGGTGTTGTAGTTGGGAAGACATGGGCATTCATTTAAAAAAAAAAACCCAAAAAGATAAGCAGGGCAAAGCGAAAATGGTAAATGTTGTACGTAAAGGGTAGAACTGCTTTGGAGAGAGATTTGTTGAGATCTTGATATACTGGTTTGGAACTCATCTTAGTTAATGATTTCATTAACGTTCTTATAGAAGAGTAGAGTCACAGAATGGTTTGGGTT